TAATATGTGGCAATTACAAATATAAATAAATTTAATTATATTTAATTAATAACTATTTAATACATATGGTTGGAGCTAATACATTTAGATAAATATCAAAATAAAATATTAAATAGCACATAAATATTTGCAAACTCATTTTGATACTTTTGGCTTGGAGTTGGTCTAGATATTTACTTATACCAAGTAAATATTTATCATAGTTATAATGAAATACTTCTTAGTGGAATACAATATATAATATATACAATCATTATACATTTTAAACAAAACAATTGATATTTCTAATGTTTGGAATTAAATAAAGTGAATCAACTAATTTAATACCAAAGATTTAGAATAACATTGTTATATTTTGAAATATATAAAATCAATTCGTTTTTTATCAATTAATTAAACTTAACTTATGTTATTCAATTTATTAGTATAATCATGATAAAATTATTATTTTAATTACTATATAATTTTAAAAAGTTAAATCAATTGTAAAATTTATTTAGTGAAGAAAAATTAACTGTTTAAATAATAACATGAAATTCATGTAGTACTTTTGAATATGGTAAATAATTGGAAGTACATTACTCTACACATGTCAAAAAAAAAAAAAAATAGTGTCAATTTTCGCAATATAGTAAATTCGAACATGTTTCTTTCTTTTTTAGATATAATATTAATATATAATATTAAATTCGTAAAAAAAAACGTATTCTTTGGTCATGTTCATGTAAAATGTGTAATATCAAATAATTTATTTTGCAATATATTTTAATATAAATCCAAGGTTACGAATTAAAATACAAAATTTATGTAACACCACCAATCATGCAATTATAATAGGGGAATATTGCTCCAACTTACCACCTCCGGAACCAGTTGAGCTACACTATCTTGAATTTAACTAAATTCAAATTAAATTAATTATAAAATTAAATTAATTATAAAGTTAAATTAAAAAATAAATTTTGTTTAGAGCTTCCAAGAAAGTTGATATATTTAGAGTATTTTATAAATGGTAGGATATAAATATATTAATTAAATAATTAAATATATTTAATTACCTTTAATTTTGGAAAATGATGACATGTTTTTTGATGATTTATTTCCACCAATCAATTCGCCACCTGTGATGAAATTGAGGACATGTCATCAATTGAATTTGCCAAATGTCAATCAATTAGGTGTGCAATTCAACTTTTATATATTATATAGATATAGATATATAGATATAGATTTGTGACATCCAATTAGGGTTTGGCAACGTTAAACATCATATAGGGCAAAATTGGGGGACTAAATATGTAATGAAGTATAATTCGAGAGGCTAAAGTTGAATTCTAAAAAATTTCCCAACATTTAGTACGAATATTATAACCAATTTCTCTTTTACGCATAATAATTATTTCAAAACGATTTTCCCCAAATTCATAAACCCCTCGAAGCTGCAGTTGGTTCGCAGCGGTGAGTCCATTATTCACCGGCGACGATGACCACCAGAATAGCACCAGGTGTTGGGGCAAATCTTCTCGGCCAGCACTCCGCCGAGCGCAACCAAGACGCCACCGTCTACGTCGGCAATCTCGAAACCAAAGTACTCTTCTCTTGTTATCGCTCTGTCAGTGTTTACTACCTATTTTTTCTTCAAATGGCCTAGGGTTTAAGTCAAATATCGTTTCTATTTGCCATATGTGCATCTGCTTAAGTTAATTGGGGCAATGATTTCTTTTTAAATGATGAACTCTAGAGATTTAGAAGAATGCTTCGTCTTTTTCCTCCATCTGTGTGTTTTTGTATTTTGAGTTTATTTCCATTGGAATTGGTTTCTCAATTCAGTTATCTGTTCGGAATCGGAGTAATTTTATTTTTTTAACCTTTTATATACCTCGAATTCAAATGGGAAGAGCGAAAAATGTATTGTCGTTTATTATGTGTAACTCCCACTTTATTTGTTCCCCTTTTGAAATGTATGGGGTCATGCGATAATTTAAAACTTTTTTTATGTGCGTTCGCAGGCGAGTGAAGAGTTATTATGGGAGCTGTTTGTTCAAGCAGGACCAGTTGGTATGTTTCAGATTTTATATTGTTATACCTCTTGTGTGTGTGTGTGTGTGTGTGTGTTATTATAGACGTTATGTAATTGATGTTTGTAATTCTCCATAATCGGATGTTACGTATATTTATCAGAATTTATTTTTCGAGTTTTGTGTTTACTTCATGTATTTGTGTATGTCTTGGGGTCTTACGTGTATTCTTCGTTGCAGTCAATGTGTATGTTCCCAAGGACAGAGTTACAAATGCTCATCAAGGCTATGGCTTTGTGGAGTTCAGAAGTGAAGAAGATGCTGATTACGTAAGCATCTTATTATAGCTTCCGAAATTATTTAATTATTGAGGGCTGATTTTGATTTTGTCGCTTTATGCAGGCAATTAAGGTGCTAAACATGATTAAACTGTTTGGAAAGCCAATACGAGTAAATAAGGTATGTGTTTGCACTTTCTTCCAGATCTGAGTTGGTTGACAATTTGCATTTTCTCAATTAAGTTGATCTTCAACCCCTTCGTTTTTTCCTCCCATTTTTTGGAATTTAGGCGTCACAAGATAAGAAAAGTGTGGATGTGGGAGCAAACCTTTTCATCGGGAATCTTGATCCGGTAAGAAGTCCTGATTTATACACACACACACACACACACACATGGAATATTTATGTCAATGTTTACTT